GGAGTAGCCCAACTCCTTATAAGCTCTTGCAAGATTTTCAAACATTTCCATGTGAGACTTTTTACCTTTATATTCTCACAAAAACATGTGTATAAAATGAAATCCAACAATATCAATCTGAAAAAACATGTGATCACACGCATATCTTTAGAGACATTAGTTGACCACATCCACATGCAGTTATTACATATCATGTCAGATGATCATGGCCCAGTAATGTGATATTAATTGTGGCAAATGTTTGAGCTTACTTATATCATTAGAATCATCCCTGCTCAAGTCAACTTCAATAATCAATAATTAAGATGTAATATTAAGTTGAGTACTAAACCTGATAGTGTGCCCCTCGAGGCTGAACCCTTCTTCCTGCGACTGCACCACCGGTGCGCCACGTAGCCATGGCCCGAAAGGCGGCTTCTGCTTCGAAGCTTGGTACTCAGTTCCCTCTCCTTTTGGCACAGGAACTATAAATCTATCAGTATATTTAATTATCTCCATCTCATCTAGATCAACCACAAATGCTATTCCCTCCACTGGCCTCACATACAAGTTCACTGTCTCATTTGTGTAGAAACAATTAATCTTTAATGTTCTTCTACTCTTTGCCTCTCCAAACCAACCAACTGAAAAACCGCTGCACACAACTTGGGATATATCAAGCCCTCTCTTTCTAATGGACTTGATAAATGGTTCATGTTTAAATGGCAACTCATTTGCATATGTTTGTTCGTCCAAGGTTAACACAGGTAAGCCATTTGCTCCGTTGTGAACTTTACTAGAGACTATGGAACGGGTCGATAAATCCACGATAATCTCGTGGGTTTGCTTATTAAGCCGTGTAACGACCAAGGCTCCGCGAGGAGGTGGTGGAGATTTGGTGTTGGTGGTGGATTTTGATTGCCATGAGAGGACGGTGTACTTTTCTGGCTCATCTAGGCCTACGTATTGGAAGGTTAGGTTTTGGGCAGGGAATGCTTTGTGGATTATGGCTTTGATATGGATGAACTCGGACGGTGTTAGAGGGTCTAGGGGATGCTGTTTTAGGCATAAGGCTGGTGAGAAGGTGATGAAGATGGAGAAGAGTAATAACAAGAGAGCGGGTGTCACTACTCTGGATGCCATGGCATTGTGAGAGAAATGCAGGCATCAAGGTTCCTCTTAAATAAGAGTTTCAACTAGCTAGTATAGCAAATAACTGCCAATTTCTGGGAGAACTTTCAAGGACCAGCTAGCTTAGTATGGTGTAATTATGCTAAATGCATGGTAAACGGCTAAATGGAAAATTACCGTACTATCACATGCGACATGTGCAAACGATGGAGATCGTTAAATTTTAACAATATATCTGAATTTAAAAGTAACAGGCGTATCACATCCTTTCTATATATATTGAAGGCAGTTGAGGTTCTACCCCAAAACTAATTAGTAATAATGTGGAGAATAGCCCAACTCCTTATAAACCCTTGTTAGTTTTTCCAACTTTTCAATCCACATTTTCACCTTCACATTCTCACATATATAAGTATAAGGGTTATTAGTAGGCAAGGTTTTGTAGATAATAATATAGATAATAGATCATGATCATAGTCTAAAATATCAATAATATCGAGGGTAGTATCATTTTTTCGAGGCAATGATATTTTGGAACGTATCCATACACATATCGTATAAATATCGATAATATCGGAAAATATCGACGTCAATAATTTCTCTCACATTTTAGCAATATTTGGCCAAAATATCTCTATAATATCGTTATAATATCGATAATATCAAGATGATAAAGACAATGAAAATTTTAAAGAGTTATTTACACGTAAGAAGAAGAAGAAGAAGACATGAATTCTTATCCATATATATAAGACCTAGCGAGTCGGTAAACCCAGAGAGCCAGATCCACCAACCAATTCTTTCTAGGCTTGAAGGGAGGGACCT